TGATTCACTCCCCAAGTGAGTGCAATAGCTCTCAGCCACAGCCTTCTCCAGGCAGCTTAAGCAGCCCACGTTCGGCTTAGTCCATCTTCATTATGGTCTAAAGCAAAGTTATGAAGTCCCCATATTTTCTGTTTTTTAACAGCATTGGTGCCCAAACCTCTTCTGGTTCTTCCCAAGCTGCTGCTGCTTTTTTTTTTTTAATAGAGATTTATTTAATTTTCTTGGAAAGGCAACAAAAATTTACAGAAAGAAGGAGAAACAGAAAGATCTTCCTTCCGCTGATTTACTCTTCCAAATGGTCTCAGTAACCAGGGCTGAGCCGGGCCAAAGCCAGGAACTTCTTCCTGGTCTCCTGTATGGGTTCAGGGTCCCAGGACTTGAACTGTCCTCCGCTGCTTTCCCAGGCCACAAGCAGGGAGGTAGACTGGAAGTGGAGCAGCCAGGGCTCAAAACCTTAACCAAATAGGATACCAGCTTCACAGGCAGAGGTTTAGCTCATTACACCCCAGCCCCCAAAGACTTCCTTAAATAAGGAATTTCTACACTGATTATATCAACTAACAATATCTTCTATTCATTAGCAGTGTTCCTTGAAATATTCAAAAGGCAGGGAGAGAAAAAAAGACAAGAGATGCCCCTCTCTAGAAAGGTTTGTCAGGAGCACAGGGTGTCAGGAGGAGGGAGTCTTGGGGCCTGCATTCCCACCCACTCCCAGCCCTTTTCTGTTGGAGAGCTGAGTGGCAGAGCACTCCCACCTCTTGGCTCATGCCCCAGAGGTGCAGTTACCAGGGCTGCATCAGGCTGAAACTGGGAGCTGTGAACTCGGTCCAGGTCTCCTGGGTAGGTAGCAGGGCTCAAGGCCTTGAACTGTCGCCTGCTGCCTCGCCAGCTGCACGTTAGCAAGAGGCTGGAGTCAGGAAGAGGAACGGGGATTTTAACCACAGCCCTCCAGTATGAGAAGTGTATTTCCCAAACAGCATCTTCACCAGTAGGCCAAACACTTTAGTCCTTGGAACCTTTTTCTCTGGTCACAACACATGGGCCACCGGAACAAATCCGACTCTAGAGACTTCCATGGGTCAGGGAAGGGACCTATACGGAGTGCCTGAGCCCCCAAAGCTCTTTGTTTTGCTTGCATTTTTAACATGCTTAAGTGGGACTTAGGTAGCTGTGCTTTGTTGAAGGGTAGACTTGAAGACACGGACCGGGTTGCCGTCTCCTTCATCCGTGTGCCTTTTGGACATAGCTGGGTGATTTACACATGACGGATGCCCCTGAAACACGAACTCATTGGAGGAACACAGGATGTCACTCCATTCTCACGAGTCCCTTGTCAGATGCCTCCTGTTCATGCTCCCGCTCTGCAGCTGGGGCTTAGAATGAGTTAAATGCCCAGGGATTCCAATCGATGCTGACTTCAGGCTCAAACACTGAGTGTACGCACATTGGTTTGAGCAAGAGGCAAGGCCGCCTCTCTCCCTCCCTATCCACTCGCTCCTGGGGCAGTCTCCTAATGTCAGAACATCCTTATCATTGTTAAACAGCTTCCCTCCAGGTTAAGCCAGCACTTCAATGTCATGTGAACTTTGAAGTTTTGTGAAATTCAAAGAAACGATAGAATTCAAATTGCAGCAAAATGGTAGGATCTTTTATACTCATCATGTCTCGTTTTCTTTGAAGAATTGAAGGTGCTTTTCTGGAAATTAATTTGTTTAGGTTTGTAACTCCACGCTTGCCATAGCCTGCAAAAATATCCACAATGCCCCAGGTTGGGAGCAGTGACAGGGGGTGGAGGGGTCATGCATAATCAGGTGTTAGCCTGAGGCCTGGTGTGTAGCACTGCCTCTCCCACAGGGACTTCGCCATGCTTATCATGTGCAGTCACTTATTCCTCACAGTTCGTAGAGGTTAATAAGTCAGAGGAGTGGAAAGCAAGACAATGAGGTGGAAATGCAAGACTCCTCTTTTTTTCCTTTGTGAAGTTGGTTTTTCCTGAGCTGCTTGCTTTGCTAAGCCAAGTCACCCATCAGGGACTGCAAAATCTTCCCCCGCTGGGTGAGTTTAGGAATGGTGGCAGGTGAGGGTGTTCCTGCCTCCCGGGTTGGGGTGGAACTGTGCAGCTTACTGCTAAGCAAGTGTCCTCCAAGAACTAGGTCTGTGTTTGCTGGGGGTACATTCAGATTGAACACACTTTCCTTGGAACCCTGTCACTTTGCTAAACCACAGATGTGGACAGGGCTGGGGGAAGATGGTGAAAACCAGATCTCCTGCCAACCCTGAAAACCTCCCCGCGCAGGAGGAGGGAAGGGAAGCAGTTTTATTCTAAAATTAGCATCCAGCTGGGGTGGCATGCATCACAGCTCTGAAGGGGCGAGGGCACGTATAGAAATCTCTCCCTGGGTACAGCCAGACACACGTGGGTTTCCCCAGATAAGCTGTCAGGACAAGCGGTAGTCAGGCCCCTTCATGCGACATTCACCCTTGGTTCACCTGGTGTTCAGGGCCATCAGCTGGGGTGCTGACTGGCCTTGTCCAAACAGGCACTTCCCATGGCTGTTGATCAGGGCACAGCCAGGCAGCTCTGGGCAAGTTCTGGCTTTCTAAGCACTCTGTCACCTGTTCCACCCCCACCCACCCATGGCTGTGTCTCTTGGGCCATGGAGAAATAAAACAAAAAACAAAAAACCCAGCCTGCTTCCTCAAGCTGCTAAGAGGCTTATTATTCAACTTTAAAGATATTTATGCACATCTCAAAGAGATAGAAGAGAGAACCTATCAGGTACAGGTTTTCTAAAGGCAATGCTTCGAGGGGTCACGCTGGTTGGTTGGTATCTGGTGTTTGTGGCTCACACTCTCCCCCCTCGCGTTCCAGGGGCTGCCGCGGGTCCCTCGTTTTCTGATTCTGCTGTCTCTGCCCTCAAGAGAAGTAGCGTATGTGTGTATATACTGCCTACATGCAAAAGTGCGTGTGGCACAAGGTTAAAAAACTGCTACGTTTTAAAACCAAATATTTGATTTTACAATCTTTAAAGATTTATTTTTATTCAAAAGATTTACACAGAGAAAGGGATACTCCACCCACTGATTCAATCCCCAAAAGGCCGCAACATCCAGAGCTGGGCCAGTTTGAAGCCAGGAGCCTGGTGCTTCTGTGTTTCCCACTTGGATTCGGAGTTCAAGGCCCCAGGCCATCCTTCATTGCTTTCCCAGGCACATCAGCAGGGAGCTGAATGTGAAGTGGAACAGCCAGGACTCAAATCTGCAACCCTGTGGAATGCTGGCACTGTAGGCAGAGGTTTAACCTACTATGCCAGGGTGCTGGCCCCTGATTTTAAAATATTTTAAAATAAAAACTCTAAGAAGAGGGGGCAGAGACTTCTCCTTAGTTTCCATGGGGAACTCCGGCTCATCCTTCCTCTCTCTTTGCTCTGGTAGATCCAAGAAGCAGCAGCAAAGGCCAGTGTCCCACCTCCACTTCAGGAGGTGCCCCCTCTGGACCCCAGTGCTGTCCTTTTTATTACAAAGCAGGCCTCAAGTTCAGCTTCGAGCCCCCAGTTTAGCTCTTGAAACCTATTAGCCTCTTGGGTCTTGTCATTGGTGGATTTTCTTCTCGGCTTTTTTTCAGGGCCCTGGAGACTCCCTACCCAGAGATCTGCTTCTTCTCTAACCTGTCTCCTGCTGGCACGTGAGCTTCTGCCACATGCAGCTGCCCAGGTTGAACCAGCTCACACATCTGCTGGCACATGGGCAAGCTCCTGGCCAGGACCCAAAACAAGCACAGGCTCTCTAAGCACAGAGCAGATTCTTTTCTGTTGTGACGTCACGGACATGCTGGGTAAACTTCAGCAGCGTGGCGCTTCTTATCTCTGAACAAAAGGGAAACCCATGAGTGGCATGGGTGAAGACAGAAGCCGCAGTCAAAGCGGCTAGGTGGAAGCCAGAAGCCTGAGTCCCGGGAGATCAGTAGAGAAGCCCATGTGGGCTCGGGGGCCTGGGCTGAGGCCGTAACACCTGTGTGGGCACAGGGGAGAAAGTGCCCGATGAGAAACTCCTTCAATAGCAGCAAAAGCCTTAAACAGATGCTACTTCTTTGAAAGGCGTTAGAGAACGTTAGTCCCACCGCGGCAAGTGCCACAGCAGCTAAGATGCTGCATGGGAATCCCGCATCCAGAGGCTGGTCATTGCTTCTGGTTGCAGCTTCTAGCTGATGCAACTCTGGCAGGCAGTGGGTGATGGCTCAGGTACTTGGGTCCCTGTCATCCACGTGGGAGACCCAGAGGGAGTCCCAAGCACCTGGCTGTAGCCTGGCCCACCCTTTTGGGGATGAACCACTGGAGAGATCTTTGTCTCTGTGTCTATCTCTTTTCCTTTCAAATTATTTAAATTTTTTTTTGAAGAAAAAAAATGTGCTGTCCACAAGGACAGTAAGAAGAAGCAAATTGTCCACCTTGGAATGGGAATATAAGGAAAACCATTATAATCACTGTCAGAAATAGATTCTGTAGGGCCCATGTCAACTGGAGTCCAGATTTGTACTGTCCATACAGTCCCTTGGAGAAATCAACATATTAGTCAGTTAGAAGCAATGAAAATCCTGAAGTTCTGTGTGGACGCTGATGCAGAACTACCCAGCCCAGGGCCCATGGGAGTCACACAGGAAGAGCAAATGCCCCACAGATGAACAAGTGCAAGTGACAGATGTGGGAGGAAGGGAGCCCAGATGGCTCAAGGAATGCAGACTCTGGGATCAGCTTGGGCAGTGATGGGAGTGCAGCATGCACTATCCTCATGGGCAACACCTGCTCCATATCTAAAGGCTCAGTGCTTTCCACCGCAAATCATGCTCTGCCTACTTTTTGATGAGCTGAACACATGAATGAATGGGCTGATCTGTTATTTAAGGAAAAACATGCACTCTACCAAGGAAACAGGAAATGAAAGAGTTTTCAAAAAGACCAATGCAGGTGACAAAGGGTTAAGGAAGGCTTGACCTTCCTTAAGAACCAATGCAGGTGACAAAGGCTTCTCCTGGTGAGAGAAGAAGGGAGTGTGTCTTTTTGGAGGGGCTCCCAGCCTCTTGCCCAGGAGCCAAGCGCATTGAGCTTCTAGAGGCAGGACCAATGGGAGCAGACCTACTTGCTCTGTTGTTGGTCCTGGCTGTTCCATTTCACAGGGTGAGTGACACATGTCTTGAGGCTACGAGGAAAATCCCTCATCATGAACCAATGTAGTCATGCCCAAATGCTGTGCAAATCTGATGTAGAAACCCGCTTCCTGTGTGAATAAGGGTATCTTTTCTACACCCCCTGCTGCTCTACTTGTACTTGGTAATGAGCTGTTCAGTGCTCATTAGAGCTCAGTAGGGGGTTTTGATCATTCGCATGACAATACAGACCATGCACCCATCACTTTCTAACGAAAGCACCACCTTCTTAGAAGAGGTCCCAAGAACATGGAGATGAACTGATGACTGAGCTGGTTCTTCCAGTTGGTGTGAGCCGAGCTGTGGTCTGCTTGGTTTAGCTTGCTGTTCCGGCTTGGTGTTGCCCCCTGCGGCCCTCACAGGTGATACAGGTGACTGCGGGGTTTCAGGAGGCGGCTCAGACTCTTCAGGGCCTCAGACAGCCCCTCCCCAGTGAGGGCACTGCAGGCCCGGAGCTCCCAACGATGCTCCTGCAGTCGCTCCAGGCCCAGCCTGTCCCTGATCTCCAGCAGCGGGAGGGCATCGGGTGCCTCCTGCTTGTTGGCCAGCACCAACAAGGGGACGCCGGCCATGCTGGGGCTGGCCAGGACTTCCAGGAGGGCAGTCACAGCCTCAGGCAAACGGGCTTTGTCTGTGCTGTCCAGCACATACACGAGGATGTCTGTGCCTTCCAGATAGTCCTTCCAACTGGCCCTGAGCTGAGGCTGCCCCCCAACGTCCCAGAGGGTCAATGACAGGTTCCCAGGAGCTTCAAGGGGCTCCACGTTAAAACCGACCGTGGGAAGGGTCTGCACCTGCTGGTGGCCCTTCAGCTTGTACAGGAGTGTGGTCTTGCCTGCTGAGTCCAGGCCCATCATCACCACCTGAGGTTCTGCCTTGGGACTTTTGGAATTTGCGGTGCCCATGGTGGCTCCTACTAAACCCTAGGGGACAAAGGCCGAGAATGTGCATCAGCTTCTCTTAGGGGGTTGTGGGCGCAGATCCATGTGGGCACAGGGCAGAACTTCAGCCCCAAAACAGGGAAAGTCTTTACACAGGGTCAGGTTTCAGACACAGCTGGAGGTTGCACAAGGGCTAGGAAGGAGGAGATGGTGAGTTATAGGCCGCTGACCCTTCCAAGGTGAGCATGGGACCTCCTGGAAGACACAGACTGTGGCTCACTCACCTTAGTTCCAGCCCGGAGGCAGGAAGAGTAGATGGAACACATTCAGTGGAAATCCCAGAAACAGGGCTTGAATTCTTGCTGGTCCGTGGCCTCTGACCTCTGACCAGTCCAGTTAGCTTGAACCCGGAAACAGAAGCTATGCTGAGACCATGGAGGGAGGAGGGGATGCTTAGTTCAGGGCCATACTGCAAGGCCAGCCCTGTGGCCTTTAACTGATGTGGCCAAATTGCTGTGCTATCGTAGGGGAGGTGCAACTGGAACCATCAAACATGGCATCTTTGAATCCAAAACCACTGCTGATGTCTTCCAAGCCCCTTGTAAGGCTCCACTGATGCAGCTTAAGCAATGCTTGAACCTGAGGGAGCCGAGCTGCCCCTGTGTCCGTCCTGTCGTCTGGTGGCAGCTTCCGGTCCACTCCTCCTCCCTGCAGTGAGTGAAGGAACGGCAGGTGGTCACATTCAGCGCATCCCCAACCCAGGGGGCATGGCCCTGGGAAACCCTCCCTGGCATCCTCACACTCAGGCTCTGTGCCTCAGGACACACGCCATAAAGCCCGGCCAGCTGTCCCTTTTCGGGGTCCCAGGAGAGCAGCAGAGAAAGCCTTCCCACCTCCTGCTCACTCTCCTCTTACTCCTGCCACCTAAGGTGGTGACTCCAGAGCCCAGGATGAAGGGACTCTTGGGCGGCCCCGGCGAGAGAGCCCTCCCAATCCCCTAATTTTTTAAATGTTTCTTTTTCTTTTTTTTAAATCTACAAACAGCGGCGAGCACATGAAAGAGAAAGTGAAAGCTGAGAGATCTTCCATTTGCTAGTTCGCTTTCCAGATGCCTATGATAGCTAGGGCTGGGCCAGGCCGAAGCCAAGAGCCAGGAACTTCAACTAGGCTTCCCACAAGGGTGGCAGGGCCCTCCTTCTGCTGCTTCCAGATAGGCGACCTGTTCTCACCTTAAATGAGAAGGCCATGTTCACCTCCAGGAATGTGTGGCAGCTGCCCCTGGACGAGCCAGGCACCACGCATTCCTCTTCCCAAGGGTCGGGGAGTAGCAATCTCCTTTACCTTGCACCTTTTGATGAGCCGGGGGCAGGACGTCCTCCTCAGACGTTCGCCTTGTCCCTAGAACTGCTTTCTCCACCCAGCGCCAGCCACAAAGGAAGTGATGTTCCCACTGCTTCTCTTTTTTTCTGCTTCCTTTTCCTAGGTGGTTGAAGGGAGGGGCGCTGTCTGGCTAGGGACAATGGGACACCAAGATGTCCCCTGCTCTTCAGCTCCTGGGAGGACCCAGCCCAGCCTGAACTCCTGTTATCCAGTAACTCAGATCCAATGTATGAAGACGGGTGTGCAAGCTCAGAGTCACGTCCAAGTTCAGCCACAGCCTTTCACTCTAACCTTCACTCTCAGCTCTACGCTTGGCTCTGCGTTTGGCTGCCTGGACTCTTCTGGACTCTCCCTAATCACCTCAGTGACCCTCATGAGCCGTATGACTTGCTTTTTTACCTTTTTCCTTCTCCTCTCTCCAGCTTTTTAAGTTAATTCTTTCTAGAGGTACATAGAGAACTCCCTGATGCTGATTCACTCTCCAGAATGCCCACAAGCCCAGGCTGGACACAGGAGCCAGGAATGCAGACCAGGTCACCCAGGTGAGAGGCAGGAAGCCAATCACTTGAACCATTTCTGTTGCCTTAGCAGGAAGCTGAAGTCAGCAGCAGGAGCTGGGAATTGAACTCAGGTTCTCTCAGGTAGGATTCCGGTGTCCAGTGATTTTCCCACTGTGCTAAATGCCTACCCTTTTCCTACTTTCTCTAGTCAGTTTTTCAGCAGTCCACAGCTCCTGCATTTCCTGTGTTCCACTGCACTTAACAATCAGTTTGCCAATTATAGTCCAGCCTAATCATAGTGGTGTCCCACGTGGTTAGAATCAGAATGGACATATGCTTTCGTACTGTTTTTTTTTCCATTTAACTGTATATAAAAGTTGTTTCTACAGTCTGTAGTAAAAATTACTGGGTTGGCTTTATAATTATGTTACATCAGTAGAAAATAGTATGTTCTACTTCTCATATCTGTGAATAGTGCTGAGTGAAAGATTTTGTGATAATGTTTTTCTCTTCGTTTGGGTCGTTTCTGTAGACTGGATTACTGGCATAAGGATTTGTGAGACAGAAGAAAAGACTCATGTCTTGCTAAGAAATTTTTTTTTTGTTAAAGTATTTTGATTTCTTTTTAAAAGTTACTAATTTGTATACAATGAGTAGATTTCAGTTTTCACAGTACCAATTTAGAAGCATAGGGTATCCTCCACATCTCCCATGTATTAATTTCTCCCCATTTTATTATAGTATTGCTAAGGTCTTTCCGTAGTTCATTGTGTTGCACTACAAATTGTGCTTTCAATGGTTTATTTGTTATTTATTTTCATTTTACTTGAAAGACAGTGTGACAGAAACAGACGAGGCAGAGAAAGATCTTCCATGCATTGGTTCACTCTCCAAGTAGCCACAGCAGCTGGGACTGGCTCAGGTGAAGGTCAGGAGCCAGGAACCCAATCCAGGTCTCCCCAGTGGGTGGCAGGAGCCCGACAAGTTCTGTCATTGCTTGTGGCCTCCCAAGGTGCACATCGGCAGGTAGCTAGACTGGGAAGTGGAGCCAGTACTTCAACCCAGGCACTCCCATATGGGATGCAGCCATCCCAAGAGGCACAAAATACCCAACCCTGACCCTGGTTTTGGGTCTCTTAGGCTGGACCACCCTGACCTCATGCGAGGCCCTGACCCCCAGACAGAGGTGGCAGTGTAGGAGAGAGAATGTGCCAAATGCACGAGACTGGTGGAATAGATCAATGTTCCCACTGTTGAGGATTGTGATAAAGTAGTTACCATGCTTGTGACGGGAGAGGTGATCAAAAAATGTTTGGGAAATATGGATCATGAAGAACTGAATTTCACACCCAAAGAAGAAAAGCCTATTTAATTCCATTTCCCCATGAACTCTTTGAAGTCTGCTCATGGTGGCAGCCACCTTGAGGTGCTGCATTGTTTCATTGCCTCTTCACAGCCACCCTGAGGCTCAGGGAGGTGCAGTTACAGAATACACAGCTGCAGGTGCAGGAACAGCAGGGTTTGAGTAACTTCTCATGTGATGGGAAGTCTGGAGGGACTCATCAGGGAGCCCACTTCTCTCTGTTCACTTGTCAGCAGGTGGTTGATGCTTTCTTTTTGGGGTGGCAGCACAGGTATTACCCTAATTATTAATGGTTTACAAGCAGGGGAAAGGGGAGAGGCAGTGGTCTCCTTGTGTGTTTGGTCCATGTGTTTATTTGTTTAACAGGGAAAGGGCTAGCTCCTGAGAGCCAGTTTCCCCCTTACGCATACATATCACATTGTCCAAGGAGGATGGAATTCCTTGGCTAAGCCGGGCTAGGACCACTTTACTGGACACACTGCCCTCTACCTCTATCTGAATATTGTGCTGCTCTTGGCAAGAAGACAGTGGGAATGCTGTTGGGCATGGGTGTCTGACACATTTCCCCTCCCACAACCTTCCATGATAGAAAGTTCTCTTCTCCCAAGGTGATACTATCTTTTAAAAAAAATGTTTTGTTTTTTTATCAGAAAGTCAGATTTTTTTAAGATTTATTTTTATTATTATTATTTTTTTTATTGGAAAGGCGGATATACAGAGAGGAGAGACAGAGAGGAAGATCTTCTGTACAATGATTCACTCCCCAAGTGAGCACAACGGCCCATGCTATGCCGATCTGAAGCCAGGAGACTCTTCCGGGTCTCCCACGCGGGTACAGGGTCCCAAAGCTTTGGGCCGTCCTCAACTGCTTTCCTGGGCCACAGGCAGGGAGCTGGAAGGGAAGCGGGGCTGCCGGGATAGAACCGGCGCCCATATGGGATCCCGGGCGTGCAAGGCGAGGACCTTAACCACTTGCGCCACTGCGCCGGGCCCCAGAAAGTCAGATTTACAGAGAGACAGAGAGAAAGATCTTCCATCTACTGATTCACTCTCCAAGTGGCCAGAGCTGAGGCAATCTGAAGCTAGGAGCCAGAAATTTCTTCCAGGTCTTCTATGTGGGTGCAGGGCCCCAAGGCTTTGGGCTGTCCTCTACTGCTTTCCTAGACCACAAGCACAGGAATTGGATAGGAAGTGAAGCCGCTGTGACATGAGCTGGTGCCCATGTGAGATGCTGGCTCATGTAAGGCGAGGATTTAGCCACTAGGCTATTAAGCTGGGCTAATGCTGTCTTCTAAGATTTTTTTTTTTCTTGATGTGTTAGCAATGACCATGTTTGTGACACACACATATATATGTTTCAAGTGCTCATAATTTTGTTGTTGACATACCATGATCATCAAGTCAAAACTGAGCAATCAGAAGGAATACTGTAGTAGTTCTTGCCTGGTATTTTGTAAATGAGATGGGACAGGACTGCGTAACCCTCAGTGAGGCACAGTTGTGAATTGGGAAGAATGCAGATTGAGGGTTAGGAGAACTGGTCCTAGCCCCAGATTGGCTACTTCCTACCTTATTGCCTGGGGTAAATGATTTTGTCCCTCCCAGCCTTAATTTTCTGATCTGTGAAGCAAGAAGGTTGGAGTAATGTCTAAAGTGCAAATATTCTGTAGGTTTACTGCAGTTTTTATTGAACAGTTGAGAGAAATACTGGTCACCTATAAAACTTCAAAATTTACTCAAAATAGATTTGCACGTTCATGAGTCAGGAAGAGCAACATTGTTGTTTTTTTTTTTTTTCAATATTTATGCCTTTTTATTTTTTTTTTAAATCATATATACTTTATTATGTTTTTTTTTTTATTGTTGCTTACATTATATTATGTAGTACAGTTTTATAGGCGCTGGGGATCCCCCCCACCCCTCCCATACCCCTCCCCCCATGGTGGATTCCTCCACCTTAGCAACATTGTTATATATGAAAAATAGGACAAAATCTAACAGAATTAGTTTCAGAGTCCACTGTAAGCAGATTATAGGCTCTTTAAAATGTATTTATTTTACATTACAAATTTTATTTTGTGTTCACATTAAGTGGTCTGTGAGTGCTATACAGTTATGGTACAGTTCATCTTCTAGAGCTTTCCTGCTGGTTCTCTTGCCTGTTCTATTGATGATTTTCTTTTTTTAATTTACTTTTAAAAAAAAATTATTTGGTTTACTCCTTAAATGCCAGAGCTGAGAACAACTAAAGCCAAAAACTCAGTCCAGGCCTCCCATGTGGGTAGCAAGTACTTGAGTTATAGACAGTTTTACCTCTAATAGCGCCCTAATATTCACTACCAGTAAACCCAAGTAATTTAGCTGGGACACGAACTGGAACCCATATGGATCCTGGTATGTGTAAGATGAGGAGGGCCCTACAATAAGCATCTTAACCACTGTACCCAACATCTG